GCTTCGCCCTTATCTATGACTCCACTGAGGCCTTGAAGAAGTTCGAGCCCCGTTACAGACTCGTCCGCTATGGCACTGTCGACAAGATTGAGCGACCAAGCAGAAAACAACGTATGTTTCCCTAGCGCAAGAAGTTTAGTAGAAGACAGCGGTCTTTTTCCGCCATACGGGGGGTTTATGACTGACACGCCCTTTTCCTCCATATAGGCAAGAGCAGCAAGATCAGAGCTAAGAAGCTCCGAGGCACGGCTAAGGTTAAGGGTGTCAAGAAGGCCAAGAAATAAGCAGCTCGCGGGCAGTTGCTGGTTTGGCGGTTGGATTGGAGTCTTGCACCTTGAAATTTGCCTTGATGAACAGCACTTCTCCAAAGTTGCTCGGCATTCATGTCCCAAGACAATCAATGGTGTATGCTAGCTACGAATCGAAACCAACGGGTGGGCTTACTTAGGCGGCGTCACCAGATGGATAATTAAATTCCAAAATGTTTCCATTTATGTTCTTTTGAAATTCATCCTTGCCCCTCCCCCGTCTAGATGTGAAATACAAGAAACCCCGATTGTTCATTCCAGCTTAAGACCGGTGGCCCATTATCTTGTTACTGGAGACATGGAGACGTTTATACTGTTAAGCTCAACTGATATGAAATTACTCGAAATACATGCAGAGATATAATTCAAATGAAACCGGGAGAAAAGTACGCCTTATCCGTTACGAGCACTTCCAACCCCATTCAAGACCCGGAAAAAGAGGTTCCAACATATGACGAGTCCCAGGACAAGTAAAACTCTTCCATAGTGTCGCAAAGAACGTCGTGAGAATAATAAGGGCAAAATGAGAAAGCATTGTTGTAAATAAGAGAGCAATATTTTGGCTGCAAAAGGCAGAGGTGATAAAAAATTTTAGAAAAAAAAAAAAAAAAAAAATCAACCAGACCCAGGGTCGCCTCAAGAGCTATTCTCATAGCGATTCCTACCCCGGACATTGCGCTGTAATAGGCATTTGTTCTTTGTCTGTACCTCACAAGTAACAAAGAATTAAGGGTATGGGTATTCAGAGAAAGTACACATCGGGGGCTTGAGTACCCAAGTTATACGGACATGGAGAAAGGACGGTGGAGCGACACAGCGCTACGTATATGGAGTACATGTAGTCATGAGAAAGGAGATGCGGCCAAGTACTACCGTAAAGATTGCTGCGAATTTAATAGCAGCTCGAGGCACCCGCTGTCAATTGAGGAGAAACAGCGGTTTTCTCCACTGAGTACATGTTTCCTGCAGACGTTGTGTATTGTGGTCGTTCGTACACTTCACCGCTCACCAGCATGCCCCCTGGTGGCCTCGTCGAACCCAGTCGGTGGCTCCTGTTTGTGGAATGGACATATTCTGACACGCATGTATCTGTGGAGCTTTTGATTCTGGTCATCTTTTTATTGACGTGCGGCTCATCTGAGCCTTGTTGAACGTCAACAGAAGTATCAACAGCCTCATTGACCAGAAAAGGGGCAGAAGTAACGCAGGCTTGAAGGGCGCTGGAAAGTGGAATATATCCAAACCCGCAATCAATAGGGCTTGGGGGCAGTTTGACATTGACCGAGAGAGCTGCAGAAGTATCACTGCTCGTAATTGGCCGTGTAATATCGCTGTCAGCTGCCAGTTGGTAGGCTTGTTTGTATGTAGCGGTAATGCTAGAACACACATTCGGGCTAGTTGAGCTAGTACCCTCCATGATAGCCGCAAGGGTATTGTTTCGACCAGTTGCCGGGTTAGGCAAGGTTCTATCTTGCCCCGAAGACAGTGAGCTCATGACGGGAAAGAGCGTGACGGTTTCACTGGACGTACATTTTTGAGATGGGCGTCCGAGAAAGGGAAAACTCGGCGATAGCGAACCGCTTCCGTCATGATCGGGGTACGCCCCTGCATTTGTAGGATCCAGTGTCGTTGGCAATCGCCAGTTCCTCGCTGGAGGAGAAGTACAACAAACAGCACTTACTCCTCCTGCCCCAGTAGAGCTTGGAAGAACGTAGGAGGAAAAGGGAAGATGATACACTCCTTCCTCTCCGTATCCAAAGGGATAATTTGGAGAGTAATAGGAGGTTCTGTTAGCCAGAGCGTGCTGCTCCGAGCTAGTTCCATATTCGAGCCCTGGCTGCACCGCGGAGTAGGCTGGTAATCCAGCGGAACCGCCGTGGATGGATAGTGAGTTTGCTCTTAGAATGTGAGTATCATAAGCTGCCTGTTGCTGGCCGCAGTTACCTGGGGAGCTCGAAGAATTTGAAAATGGATACGCCCACGAAGAATAGCTCGCCTTTGTCTGAAGTGGGGAAGAATTGACCTGCGTTGAAGTTAGAATCAGGCTCATGGTAAGGGAGGTGACATGGCATTTCACTTAGATGGGGTAAACCAACCCGTAAAAACAGACATCCTGTTGTTCCGGAGCTCTTGCAATTCGAACACGCTTCACCATTGCCAAGGTCACCGCTACATTTTATTTTCCTCCTACGGCATCTTGCGCACTATAGGCGCCCACCGCCAGTCAGTAGGTATATGTATATAGTAAAGGCCAAAAGTATCATACCGCAACTTGGGTGCGGCGCCGTTGGTTAGACCCGTTGGTTTTGCCTTCACAGTCCACGCCTGACCGATTTTGGACAAAGCTGCCGTCAGAAGCACCTTCGCTTTCCTCTCGCTTAGGATGCGTAGCTGGGCTTGCAATCGGGTGTGTTCGCCGCAAAATTTTTGTCTCCCCCTGACTCTTGTAACAAGTGCGGTCCATGGCCTGCAACATCTAGAGTTATCAGTGCTGTTTGTAAAGGTGTTGCTTGTATAAATCAGAAAGAGCTCGGCGTGTGTAACATATCACCGATGGCCTCCAAAGTAGTTCTAAAGTCAGGAGTAGAAGAGTGAAAGAATCAGGAGTTGTGGCAGTAACAAGATAGAATTGAGTTTTGAGGTTGGGATATTGTTCTTCGGAGACCATTTGTAAATCCGGGAACTTCTGGGAGGGAGAGTGTTTTAAACCCAAGGCAACACCCCGTGTTCTTCAGAGAGTTCTGGTGATGTACTTCATCATACCCTTGTTCCAGAACATGTTGATGGAGAGTAAAGGTGTTGGCTTACCGAAGTTTGCCTAGCGCCCCAGAAATTGTTTTGAAACTTTGTAGTCCAACTAGAGATTGGAGGTTGTATATCGGTTTGATAGTGGCTGGCTCCTTTATTATGTTCCACCAGAACACTGTAAGTCCCCGGTTGTACTATGCCGCAGGGTCTCAGTGGGTATAAAGTAACATGTGTGCAAGAATCCGCTAAGAACTTGACGATTGAAAAATAATAATAATAACAACAGTAAGAAATGTAATATTAAAAATAACAATAAAAAATCCCCCAAAAATAAGGATAAGGATAAAAACAAAAATAATAATAGAAAATTAATAAAATAACATAAAATAGCGGATATGTAAGGTGGTGTGGTGTGAGTTAGTGTCACAGGAACATGTCACACGTTGTCAAATTACCCTCTTGGTACCAGACTAATAACTGGTGTTGTATAGAGCAGAATGGGGGTAATGGTCTTGATAAGGGAAAGAAATATGAATATGGAGCGAGTCCATGAACTTCGCTCAGGGCCATGCCATCTTATGTACCTCCCTACTTACAGTAGGCAGGAACACTAGGTGGTTCATACTCTCTTGCCTTGACAGTTGAAAGACAAACAGATAAGAAAAAGAATGCATAAACGCTTCTTTCTTCGACTGGAGTGAGCGATGTGGTTTGAGCAAGTAACCGGCCAGAGCGTTTGTCATCGAGAGATATATGTACAGGGCCTCCTGCGAAACAACGATGGATGTCTCTGATGGTTAGGGTGAGGCATGTTTGCTAACTTGCATCGCGGCTGTTATTATTGGCTGGATGCAAGGGGCAGCGCGGCGTCAAGATTTGTAGGAGAAGCAAACATCCTCGGACTTTGGCGTGGAGTAGAAAAAGTACTCCCTGGGTGACCTGGGGATGGAAGCGTGGCGTTTATCATTTCTGTTCGATTGTTGTTTCATCCCCAACTAACGTTATCATCGCCCAATTGGATCACTCCCTCTTGAGAATCCTGCATGAACAAACTGGCCTCGTATATGGATATAACTAGCCTTGCAAACTAGCCGTTTCGAGAACATGAAGCCCATTGGTATTTTTTTTTTTCCTTTTAAAGCGTACTCCATATGAGGCAGACAATTTGTCGCAGAGCCGTTTACAGGGTCCAACCAACTGATATTATCAACTAAGATCGGATGGTCCAGAGAACGATTCCCACATATGGCGGAAAAGCATACGCCCTGCTCGGAACCCAATTCCAGAAAGTTGCACAGGGAAACTTAAGGGATCTAGCTTCAACATAGGATTCTAGAAGGGAGGGTGCTTTTTGAGTAGGCGTGTAAGCCCACAAGCAATCCAACACACCAACACACCGATAGAATCAACAAGATTGTGTTGCTTGGTCTGCATGGAGGCACGAAAGAAGCGGATTTAATCCCAACCCTTTCTGATAGGGAGGCCTGCGCCCGAATTATTATTGCGCGAGAAGTGGATTTATTCAAGGCGAACACTGCATTGAAGAGTCACCCACCCCCTGTACAGGGGATGCTCTCATCCGCAAAAAATGCTGTTCATCAGTCACAATTTCAATCTTCTGGAAAGCCGTAGAAAAATTGTGTCTAAGGGCCATGGTCAAGCTAGACGAACTCCATGTTACTTGCATCAACGCCAACGGAACAAAGCATAAGTAGGATGTATAGCCACCCCACCCCACCTTGCATCCTGCATAGTGCGCATGAGACCCGATACTATCTGCTGCCGTGACGAATCTCATCCCCGTATATGTACATCACGGGAGAAACACACATGCAAGTCATGTAGGTTGTCCAACCCCGGGCGGAGAGATTATTTGGCAGCCATTCCACCGCATGCTGATCAACACTCAAGACATCAAGGCTCCACAGAATATCCCATGCTAGAATGCTCAAGACAAAGCAAGGCACGGGAGATGTTGCCATACCAACAAGAGGCCAGGGAGGGCTCCAACACGGCAGCTCGCTGGAAGAGCTGTTGAAGGTTCAACTGAGCCGGTCCTTCTCCCTCCATTTCCAGAGGAGCCCATCGAAGGAGTCAAAAGGACCGTTGTAAGCGCCTCTGCGGATTCCAGCGAGCTCTGCTTCGCGGCCTGCAAAGAAGGTATGAAGTAACCAGTCCGGTCTGGCCAAGGGGAGGAGCGCCGTTGTAATCAAGACCAGGTTAAGCAGTCAAACAGCCATTGTCGCTGATCTCTGGGAGGCAACATTTGACATTTGCTTCTCGCCTGGGCGATCGATATCTCTGTGTGTCCCGCCTGTCCGCCTGTCCGCCTGTCCGCCTGTCTGTCCGTCCGTCTGGCTGGCTGCTCTGGCCGGCTGCTCTGCCTGTCTGTGTGTACGCGGGATGCATGAAGTCAAGAACTTCCCTTTTGGAGCAATGGAGAACGAGAGGTGCTTACCTAATATGCACGGCGTTACAGGTAAATCCGAAAGGTGGCCCCAGCGCCCTTGATGGGTTATGTAATCACCAAGAGCAGCCTCTTCGGTTCTAGCTCTCTTTCTTCCAAGGCTCGCGCGGCAGACCAGCAGCTGCAACACCAGCAAAGGGACACTGGCAGAGTGACAAACACGACGATCCAGACCATGAGCGTTCTTCTTGAAACCTCTCTGGGAGACATTGTTATTGACTTGCTAACCGAGTCTTCTCCCCGGGCATGTGAGAAGTAAGTTTGCGCTCCATTAAGTGAATCCTTCTTCAGAGATATCAAACAGCTGAGATGGGAAACTAAGAGCTCGAGGTTAGCTTTTTAAAGCTATGCAAAGTCAAGTACTACAATTTCTCGCCTGTCCACAGCGTGCAGAAGGGGTTTTCATTCCAAACGGGCGACCCACTCGGCCCTGATTCTCCAGAGAGCGATGGTGGAAGTTCGATATGGGGGGTTATCAACGGGCCATCACAGAAAAACTTCACCGTCCGTTTTCCACCGAAATTAAAGCATTCTGAGCTTGGGACAGTGAGCATGGCGACTGTCCCGTCGGCGAAAGACGCGGATGAGCGGCTCGCTGGGAGCCAGTTTATCATAACACTCGGAGACAACCTTGACTACTTGAACGACAAGGCAGTGATATTCGGACAGGTAGTTGAGGGATTCGATGTCCTCGAGAAGATCAACACCGCATTCATTGATGATAAGGGGAGACCGCTGAAGGATATCCGTATTCGACATACTGTTGTCTTGGACGACCCTTACGACGACCCTCCTGGCTTGCAGGAACCGCCGGAGAGCCCCCTCCCTACCAAAGCCCAGCTAGCTACTGTCATAATTGCAGACGATGAAGATCTAGACCAGGAGGCAGACGAAGAAGCACTGGAAAGGATACGTCGAGAACGTGAGGCCCAAGCACAAGCTTTGACGCTTGAAATGGTTGGAGACCTTCCGTTTGCCGAAGTGAAACCGCCCGAGAACGTCTTGTTTGTTTGCAAACTTAATCCGGTCACACAAGGTAAATTCTACATACATCGGAACGAAACCTCCTCCTTCCTTTTTACTAGCTATGGGATCATTCGACTAACTTTCGTACTAATTAGACGAAGATTTAAATCTAATATTTAGCCGATTTGGCAGGATCTTGTCATGCGAAGTGATACGAGATAAAAAGACAGGAGACAGTCTACAGTACGCTTTCATCGAGTTCGAAGACCAAAAGGACTGCGAACAAGCCTACTTCAAGATGCAGGGTGTGTTGATTGACGACCATCGTATTCACGTGGACTTTTCGCAGAGCGTGTCGAAGCTATCAGACTCGTGGAGAACAGCAACGAACGCCAAACGATCTAGCCAAGGGGGCGGGTTTGGGGGCATATCTAACCTCGAGAAACGACGCCAGTACCGCGCAGCAGAAGCAGGAGATCGTCGAAGCAAGTATGGAATGGTTTTTGACAAGGATGACATACAGGGCAAGGGGTCTCCCCGCCCCTCAAAGTCTCGTCGGAGAGATTGCTCTCGGAGTTGCAGCCGGAGTCGAAGCCCTCCCAGTCATTCGCATCGCGACAGATCCCCCAGACGCCGTGATGGGTATGACAGGGGGCCACGGCGGGACAGGGAAAGGTACAGGAGCCCTCACCCAAGACATGATGAACGAGACTATGGCCGTCCACAGAGACGGCGGTGAAGCCGTCTAAATTCGCTCTACTATTTACGCGGCGGACGAGGATCGTGCCTAGCCTCCTGCGCTTGCTCTCGCGCCATGAACTAACTCCGCTGCCCAACGTGTCAGTCCAGCCCTCGCACCCCGTATGTAGGTCCTCTTAATCTGAGAGAGAATTGGAAAGCTATCTACGGAGTACCTGGAAATGATGAGAGCGCTGCCCAGTGGGAAACGGAATCGCTTATCTAAGTGATGTCACGTGTTGTGTTCAGGGTCCAGCACCGGGCGGGATTCAGATAGGTACTTTGACGTGCAAGATGGCTAAAAGGCATATTAATGTTCTTATTATCAATAATATTAATTGCTAAGGAATGTGTGTACTTAGGTAGGAAGGTGTAAAATAACATATAGTTTCGTCACAGTTGGCGAGTGGGGGAGGAGACAAGTGCCTAGTGGGATCCAGTAACTAGCAGCAGAAACCTACCAATCTTCAGCAGCGGATCGGACACAGCCTGCAGGGCGAGAGAAGCTGTGGGAGTTTGAAGCAGCAGGTCCCCTAGCCCAATCTTACCCAACTAACTAAACCTGCTGAGACATCCCTTGTCACCCTTCGAAGGTACCTGGGTACATGTGTTAGGCGTTGTTAAATATATACCAGACACCGCCCCTCACCTCCGCCCACTACCATCTACCAGCCTACCATCGACAGGTTTAGCCCTCGAGACACACCACGGACGCACGTATAACACACACGCAATGGCTGCTGCTGTACGAGATACTGTTACCAATCTAATTGGCAAAATAGCGGGCATGGGAGTCCAGGACGCCCCGCCACGCCAGCCCTCCGCCGAAGAAGTCGCGGAGCTCAAGAAGCAGTACGAGCAGGCAAAGCAAGGACAAGTATTTGCTCGCTTCGACTCCCTCACCTCCAGCGAGCAGGCCCAGCTCTTCCACCAACTTTCCTCCTTTGACCCCGAGCACATTAACAAGCTCGTCAAACGGGCCAACGAAGACTCTGCCAACGCACTGAGCAGCAACGAACCCAAGGCCCTTGAGCCACTGCCAGAGAGCTCAACTGCATCGATACTTGACTCCGACCCAAAGGACATAGAGCAATGGTACAACCAGGGACTAAAGCTCATCGGCGAGAACAAAGTTGCCGTTGTGCTCATGGCCGGTGGTCAGGGAACAAGACTTGGTAGCTCTGACCCCAAGGGATGCTTCGACATCGGTCTCCCCAGTGGGAAGTCCCTGTTCCAGATTCAGGCTGAGCGTATTGCTAAGCTACAGTCGTTGGCTGCCGGGGAGTCAAGTAAGGAGAATATCGTTGTGCCCTGGTACATCATGACTAGCGGGCCAACCAGGCAGGCAACTGAGAAGTTCTTTACCGACAACAATTACTTTGGTCTCTGCAAGGAGAATGTGATGATCTTCAACCAAGGCGTGTTACCCTGTATCTCCAACGAGGGAGAGATTCTCCTCGAGAGTGCTTCAAAGGTGTGTCATATCGTTATGCCTTTTCCTATAAGCATGAGCTTACCCAGGCTACTATAGGTTGCGGTTGCCCCTGATGGAAACGGAGGTATCTACCAAGCTCTTGTCAACTCTGGCGTCCAGGATGACATGAAGAAGCGCGGAATTGAACATATCCACGCCTACTGTGTAGACAACTGCCTTGTCAAGGTCGCTGACCCAACTTTCATCGGTTTTGCTGCATCCAAAAAAGTTGACATTGCCACCAAAGTTGTGCGAAAGCGCAATGCTACTGAGTCTGTTGGCCTGATTGTCCTCAGCAATGGCAAGCCAGGCGTTGTAGAATACTCTGAGATTGACGAAGCCACGGCAAATGCCATTGATCCCAAACAGCCCGGTGTCCTCAAGTTCAGGGCAGCCAACATCGTTAACCACTATTACTCCTTCAGCTTCTTCGAGTCGATTGAGAAATGGTCCTCCGATCTACCACACCACATCGCCCGCAAAAAGATACCTTTCTACGATACCAAAACCGGTGCTACTGTTAAACCTGAGTCTCCCAACGGAATCAAGCTTGAACAATTCGTCTTTGATGTCTTTCCCTTCATCTCGCTTGAGAAGTTCGCTGCCATTGAGGTCAAGAGAGAAGAAGAGTTCTCCCCTCTCAAGAATGCCAGAGGCAGCAAGGACGATAACCCAGACACCAGTAAGAAGGACATCATGCAGCAGGGTCTACGCTGGATCAAGGCTGCTGGGGCTGTCGTCAGCGAAGAGCACACCAGCCTCGGCATCGAAGTGTCTCCTTCTATCAGCTACGTATGTCGTTCACCCCATTTTGTACATCCATCCTTCAATATCCTCCTGCATCAGCTAACTTCTGGCTTATTTAGGGCGGTGAGGGCCTGGCATTCCTCAAAGGCCGTACCATCAGTACCCCTGCACTAATTGAGACAGAATGCGATAAGGCATAGTTTGCTTGATCTACGGTTAGAGTAATACTTGCCCTGACTGAAGCCCATTTTCCATTGATTGAACGTCTAATATTTAAATACACAAACAAAAATATGATTGTTTTCAGAGGAGTGCAAACATAATCGTGGTACTGCAGATATATACATCCGTTTATCTTTCTTAAAAATCCAAGCTTATCGTCCACCTCCTCAATATTAAGGTTACTCATTTACCCAACCAATGACTTCATGATGGATCCATTCAGTGGAGTCACCAAGAATAATGACTAATAGATCACATGATTAATCTTGGCTTTAGACAGTCTAACCATTAAAGGAAAAGCGTGGAGTTCCTCACGTTTTTTATTTTTTTTTTTGCTTCTTTTCTCGCTTCTTCGCCTTCAGCTTGCTTGCTGGTTGAAACCGGAACGCAAACGCAAGTCGAGGACGAAGACGGTACGCCAATTGTGGTTGGAGGCTTGAAGCAGCTGACGAAGAGCTGAGGATTGTGCGCTAGGAATTCTGTGAAGGATCAAGAAGTGAAGAGCTGTGAGCAATCCTTGACGACTTTTCGTCTCGAAGTTCCTTAGTTGTTGCTTTTTAGTCCAAGCTTGGGGGGACGTCACTTTTTGGCGACTCTCGCGGGACTATTGTGTTTGTTTGATGGAACGATGATAGACCTCATGGGCCTGACTGTTGATGTGAATTACCCCTAGATTTTTCCTCAGGTCTATTTGGTCCGTGGCTACGAGACTTTCAGGAGGAGGACTGTTATCATTATTTGTTGGAAAGTGAGTGCACTTCCGGCTTTTGAAGATAATATATTCACGAGCCGAACGTTCCTCCACGCCCAAAACGAACATTGCACTACATACCTATCATCCCTACCTCTAGCTACCGATATACTTATATACTCTCACCGCAATCCATTTACTTGCTTGTTCGATAACTTGAGCCTTGCATTTCCGCATCTCTAACGGTTGTTTTCTAGGATGCTATTGTCTCGACGTGCGTGCTACAAATGTGGCAATATTGGTCACTACGCTGGTTCGTTTTCCGATTAGATTGCACTGTTTCTACTCCTTCACAAGGACACAGCCATTAACCGGTAATCGATAGAGGTCTGCTCCTCTTCTGAGCGTCTCTGCTACAATTGTGAGTTTATGTTTATCCGATATAGTGTATACCCCTACCTGATCCAGATGGCTAATATGCTGGATGTCCTTCCACCCTTGTAGGCAAGCAACCCGGTTGGTTCTGAACACGGCGCGCCACCTTCGGCCTTTCACTTAATCTGACAGGATGTCTCTAGGACACGAGTCCAATGGTTGCCCGCGGCCCCGAACGACAGAAAGTAAGCACAGCCATTCCAACCTTACTCGACCTGATATACTAGTGAAAATAGACAAAACAAAAATATAAAAGGCCAGCTCCTAACGTGCTGCAGCGAAACAATGTTATCATTGCCAGGGTCTAGGTCATGTCCAGGCCGACTGTCCTACCCTTCGTTTGAATGGCGGCGCCTCTAATGCCCGCTGCTATAGCTGCAATCTGCCCGGACATTTAGCTGTAAGTTACAAGCTCAAAATCTGGTCTGCGCGTTGTTATTCTAAACATTGTTCATAGAGAAACTGCCCGTCCGGCGGCATACAGCAGCAGAACCCTCAAGCTGTAAGGAATGCAAGTTCAACCCGCGGAGGGTTCAATGCTGGCTTCCGAGGAGGGCCCGCAGGGTATCCCAGGGCTGCAACATGCTACAAATGCGGTGGCCCGAACCATTTCGCACGAGATTGTCAGGCCCAGGCTATGAAGTGCTATGCATGTGGAAAGCTGGTGCGTCGTATACGCTCTATAGATAGATATATATATATATATATATATATCCATCTTTTACAAGAGCTAACCAGTTAATTTTCCAGGGTCATATCTCCCGCGACTGCACTGCACCCAACGGCGGGCCTCTAAGTTCCGTTGGGAAAGTCTGCTACAAATGCTCTCAAGCAGGCCACATTTCCCGCGACTGTCCTACCAACAACAACCCAGAGATAAAGGTGCCACCTACTGTTACTACTGAACCCACATCAACAACACTTATTCCAGATGTGGAGGTACCCGTGGAAGCTCCAACTGTCGCAACTGGGGCCGTTAATTCCACTACCACAGCCTAAAATGGACTGCAGTGGTAACTAGACAAAAAGGAGCAAGGGTTGAGTTCGCTCGGGAAGAATCTACTCTGTCCTTAAGCTCCATTATTATTTTTCACGTTTGGTTATATGACAACCTCTATAATCGTTCTATGTCCCGCCTTTGGATCTCCCAGCCGCCCTCTTTTTGCCCCTTTCCAAATACGTCGAGCTTTACCTTTTCCTCCCTTCCGATTATTGTTCCCATTTTACTTTCCCCTATCCTTATTCCACTCGTTTCCTTTCTTATCATCTATACGACCAAACAAAAGTTTCACGACGCCCTAGATTCTATGACTGGATTTACCCTCATACTCACAGGAAGCGAAGCACGAAACACACACACATACACACTTAATGAATGGCGTCATATTTGTTTGTCAAGGTATTTGCGGTTTCATGTTATGTGATGTTAGGTAGGAAGCAGGGTATGGACCCGAATCAGGAACTCATTCCTTTCTGGTCGAATAATAGTGGAAACGGAGGCGAGCAACCAATACGGAGCGGCTAGCAAGCAAAGGCGGCACACTGGCTTCAAGGATGTTCTGAGAATTTTCCTGGCGGCTGAACTTGACTTCTTCACAATTTTCAACAACAAAAAAAACAATGGTTTTACCTGGCGCGGCAAGCTCATTCACTGTTCGTTTCCATTTCATATGCATAGGTTTTGGTTTCGTCTCATTTACTTATTACTATGGTCTGCGCTTGTGACATATTCCCGGCCTTATATTGGAAATTTTTTCTTTTTTCTTTTTCTTTTTTTTTTTTTTATAGCTTATTCTTCTATCCCAACCTTCTATGTGCCATGTTCTACTCAAAATCCATGTCGTATATGTATTATTACTATCGTCGAAGGGGCTAACCCGGTCATCCACGCCGTTACGAATGGATTTCATTTCATTTAAAGTCCCAAGTATCTTCAGCTTCCGTCAGCCTTCTTAGTGCTACAGCACCTTGTCCGGGTGTTTCCATGGGATGTCGTCTGGATGTCCTGATTTGGGATGGCGGTGACCGCGTCCCTTTCACCCCTCACTAGACGAGCTTCTCAGGTCGAGCACCTGCGTTACTGTTCTTTCTACGCGACATCTATCAAGTGCATCAAGTTGCATCGAGCTATACTCAAGTGATAAACGTGTATTACTCCAGATCATTAGAAGTGCAAGAGCAAGATGCCAGTATCAACAGCCAGTGACAACGGAGACGAGGACGTAAGTGGCTCGTTCTTGCGTGCTAACAACGCGGTCTCTAACAAGTTACGTATATAGGACTTCATCGTTGATATCGACGGCATCCAAGCCCATGGTATGACGCCCTGTCCAAGTTAAGAGGAAAACAAAACTGACGCGGAAAAAGGCGTGGGAGCGGCTGATATCACAAAGCTGAAGGTCAACGGTTTCTACACTGTTGCGGTAGACTACCCCCCTTGACGCTCCGAGCATCAACTGTTGAAACTAACTTATAACAATATCCAGTCTGTTCATGGAGCCACACGCAAGACGCTGCTGAAAATCAAGGGTTTCAGTGAAGTGAAAGTTGAGAAGATCAAGGAAGCTATCCAAAAGTGTCAGGTATGAAGAGTGGTCTCTTTAAGTATGCTGTCATATGATAGGTTCTAAATAGCAGCACGGCAGCCCTCTGCCTCTGGATTCATTACTGCCATGGAGCTTGGGCACCAGCGAAAGAGGGTAGTTAAGATCTCAACAGGCAGCAAACAGTTTGACACCATACTAGGAGGGTATCAGCCATACTTCTCTTATGAAATAAAGAAGAAGCCAAAAAAAGAAAGAAAGCCCGAAACTGACGGTTCAGTAGGGGTTTTCAAAGCATGAGCATCAGCGAGGTATACGGAGAGTTCCGATGTGGGAAAACGCAGCTTTCGCACACTATGTCCGTGATCGCACAGCTGCCCAAGGATATGGGTGGTGCAGAAGGCAAGGCAGCCTACATTGATACAGAAGGCACCTTTCGGCCCGAACGAATTGCCCAGATTGCGGAACGGTTTGGCGTTGACCCGGACTCAACACTGGAAAACATATCATATGCTCGAGCGCTGAACAGTGAGCACCAGTTAGAGCTGCTTAACACGCTAGCCAAGGAGTTTGCTAGCGGCGAGTATCGCCTGCTTATCATTGATAGTATCATGAACTGTTTCCGGGTGGACTACTGTGGGAGAGGAGAGCTTGCAGACCGCCAGCAGAAACTGAACCAGTTCCTGATGAAGCTGGCTCATATGGCAGAGGGTATGTAGGGCCGAAGCCGAAGATGGAAATGAAGATTGGTGAAAGACAGCTAACCTCATGTATAAGAGTTCAATGTCTGCGTCTTGATGGTGAGAGAAAGAGTAGACCCGCCAAGAAGGCCAGCTATAGACGAGCGCGCCGAACTGACCCGTGCTACTATTATAGACGAACCAAGTACAGAGTGACCCAGGCGCAAGCGCTTTGTTTGCAGGTGCCGACGGGAGGAAGCCTGTCGGTGGCCACATCCTGGCGCACGCGTCAACGACCCGAGTACTACTGCGCAAAGGCCGTGGAGACGAGCGAGTCGCAAAGATCCAGGATTCCCCAGGTGAGTATCCAATCTAATAGTTAGTTAATTGAAAGGGAACCTGAGTGAGTATCTGAGGGGTAACTATATATGCTAATAGCAAGGCAGACTGCCCTGAGCGCGAGGCGACATACGTGATCACCAACGGCGGCATCAACGACCCTGAGAAGGTGTAAATTATGTGAGCTGGTGTAGCAACGGCATTGAAGTTGATGTTATTGATATTACTAAGCGAAGGGATGGAGATGGAAAGTCGAGTCGGCGATCCACCGCGTAAAACTACCAATNCAAAAACGTCGATTTAAGATATTTAAATTAACTAGTTAACTTATCGATATGTAAAAAAAAAAAAAAAAAGACTGCTTTGCAGAAACAAAAACCCTGCCAGGTACCAACAATGAATACCATCACCACCGCATCACTACTCAATCAACGAAGAAAGTAAAAGCAAGATGGTGACGAGCATGGGAGGATACAGTGTGCTGCCAGTACTGTTACCCAACAGCAACAGTAAGGGGGAGAGCGAGACCACACACTACCTGTACATCCAAGCGCATGCACCACGACTGCCGGACGCCGACTCCGGACGGTCACTGTTCGTGGTGAATGTGCCAGTGACGAGCACGGAGACGCACTTCCGACACCTGTTTGGCACGCAGCTCGGCAGTGGCCGGGTTGAGCGAGTCCAGTTCCAGCATGATGAAGCCAGCCGGCGGGGCCTAGGGTCCAAGGAGAGCAGCACCAGCACCGAGGTGACCGCGAACAAAAAGAGGAAGAGAGGAGAGGAGGAGAGCGCTGAGGAGTACGCGAGCCGCCTTTCGACGATCAAACTGCCTGGGGCCTGGGACCGACCGTTGCGGCCGAGCGGCTCGCATGCAGTCGTGACCTTTGTCGACCGGCCGAGCATGGAAGCCAGTCTGAGGGCGATAAACAAGCGGAAGAAGTCAAGCAAGACGACGATAACATGGGGACACAACTTGGAAGAAGAAACAGCGGAATACGACGACAACGACGACGACAACAACAACAACAACAACAATGGCAAGAGCAGCAAGAAAGGATTGTGTCGTCTGGGCTCGGCGCGGTATAACAGACATGCGCAGCTTCGATACCCCAGCCGCAGCGAACTGCTGAAGAGCGTGAACGAGTACATGAGCGTGCTGAGCCAGCTGGAAGAGGCGCGCGAACGGGAAGCCCGACACCGGGGCAACGTGGTGGACGAAGACGGCTTTATCACGGTGACGCGGGGCCCGAAGAGGGCGGTGGACGCTGGACGGGAGGAGGAGATGCGTGAGCTTGTTGCCAGGCAGCGGGAGAAGAGCAAAGGGCTGGAGGACTTTTACCGGTTCCAGATGCGGGAGAAGCGCAAGGAGAGGCAGGGCGAGCTTCTGCGGCGCTTTGAGGAGGACAAGCGGCGCGTCGAGGAGATGAAGAGGCGACGGGGGAGAGTAATAGTAAGTATTCGCCTGTATACGTCCATGTCAATTAATGGCTAGTACCAATGCTTGAGTCGTTGTGTCCATCTGCTAACTGCTGCCAGCCCGAGGAGTGATGGTAAGTCCTGAGCTCTATAACTAGCTATCCCCGACCGGTTTACTGCTTCTCTTTACATGATGAGCATGCTGGGGGCCAGAGGAGCACCTCGGTGCCATGTCTTCACGCCCAGTTATCCAACCTATCTTCTCGTCTTCTCTGATGTCTTTTTGGCTTCGTCTTCGTCTTCATCTTCGTCTTCGTCTTCATCTTCTTCCTTCTTCCATCGCTAACCCACTGCCTCGGTAGGCTTAGTCATCATTACATCACCCGCTCCCCCTGCTCTTCTTGCTTTTGTCTCTACATCAGCCCGGTCTATATATATCTTTCTACATCTTCCTGACACTGCAGCCTGCTCTCCATCTACCAGCTATTACCATGTCTGTATAAAAGGGAAAAGAGAGAGAGAGAGAGAGAGAGAGTAAAAGAGCCTGGGAATGGTCGACCTGCCGCAGCAGCGCCAGCACCCCGTCCGCCCCGGCTCGAGCAAGGAGGCCAACCTGCTTGCCTGGGTCGAGGCCGCGGTCTTGCGCATCAACCGGCGCCATGCAAAGAAGTTCTCTGGGATGCAGGCCAACCCAGCCAGGGAACAAGAGATAGAAGCAGCCGACAATGACAACGATAGTGAGAATGTGCCGGGCTACGAGTCCTTTGGCGAAGTGGCGGCCGACATCGAGCGCGTCCTCGACGTCCTCTGGGTCAGCAACACCCGTAAGCATCCCTATAATAAAGCATAAGTTACACATCTATT